AGCGTATAGGTACGTTGTGAATGCCCACTCAACGAAGTCTTGTGGTCTCAGTGAGCTACGGACAATCCGGAATGTCCAAAGCTGGTTAAATCTTATTTGCCTGTAAGATAGGGGGAATAAATCATGCTCTTTCAACCTATCCTGGTACAAAAGGTTCTTAAGACCATCAATCATCTTCGTTGCAGTAAGTTGTACATGTTCGAGAAGATCAATATCTTTCCTCATCCACAGAATCCACCCTGGCATTCCGTAGCCCAAATGGGATCTCTACAAAGACGCCACTGATTCTTCCGAAGAGTTCGGGATAAAACTTTTAAACGCACGTTTAATCCAGTGCAATGCGCTACTTACCTTCTGGACCACTTTCATGCAGCGTCTTGACGGAGTGAAATTCGGATCGCCCAACGGCCCAGATCTTTATGCTTTTCAGCACCTTTTAATGAATGCCGTTTTGTCGATACTTTTTGGCCGACGTCAAAAGGTAGGGTCACGCATTTGGATACATTTAACTTGAAAAGCCCCCTGTCCGCTCAAACATTCAGTTTATCTATCTTCGATTACAACTTTTTGCGTCTTCAACACGGTTGGCTTCAGTCCATATTTTGATATTGTCGGAAAAAATGACAGCTTCATAATCCAATTCCCTGCTGCAATCATCCACATAAATCAGGAAGAGTAGCGCGCTTAGAACAGGACCCTGTGAGACACCACCTTCAGCCTTTGCCCTTTCGGGGATAGAATTGCTAACAGCATCTACCTATATACTAGAGGGTGGAAAACATTCGACAAATGCGAAAGTTCTGCCCCGAATTCCTGTTTTCCAGATCGTCTGTAAGAGAAGTTGGTGTGGTACGCTATCTAAGGCCTTCATGAAAATAAAGAAAATGGGTCGGATGTGGTTTGGTAGCCCCACCTGAAACAAAAAAACTCCAGTCACCTCTAAAACAGGACCGATGGTAATATGGGTTTTTACAGGCGGAGCCGAGGAACGCACAGGCGACGGAGTCAAGTAGTTGTATGTAAAAGAAAAGCTATTGGGATTCAGCGGTTGTACATTGAATGATTAAGAAATGGTTGTGTTAACCTCTAACCCTAACCCCTAACTATAACCCCTTATCCTAAACCCCAACCGCTAGCCTTAACCTTTAACCCGAACCATTAACCATAACCCCTAACCCTACCCCTTAACCCCAACCACAACAGCATTTTGTCCATTAGGTGGAGCTACCAAACCACATCTCACCAAAAAATGCAGCGTCTTTTGAATTCCCAATCTCGAAGACCTTTATCCACTTATCGCGCTAGCTTGAAATACTCGTGAGGCAAGAGCATCTTCGCCGAAATTCAGTCAGTATATTTGGAGTAAATGACAGAAGCCCTGAAAACTCCATTTAGAGGGTACAGATATAAGGGAAAATAGTTAAATTGCAAAGCTTGTAGTTTTAGTAAGGAGAATTCATAAATCTAATAATGTAACACAAAGGCGAAAGGGGTATTATAATCGCGAAATAATTGCGAAAAACTTTGTTCACCCAATTCGGACTGTGAAAATTTCATATGGGCTAAGTTTGGAGCACAAAAAAGGATCTGTTGAAATCTTGTTAGTAATATATTTATAGTCATTTCAGTAATCCTTTAGATCAGGCTTCGACAGTTCGAGTTTCCTTTCAGCAGGTAAGCATCCAGTTGTCTCTTGAACACGTTCACGGTAGGGGAATTAACAACAAACTCCGGCAAAGAGTTCCATTGGCGAATGACCCTCTGTGATAAAAAGGAGGAGCGTTGATTTGTGTGGCACAGTTCCCTTTTAAGTTGGTAATCATGTCGTCTGGGATTGTACTTGGGTGCCATTTCAAAAAACGTTTCCCAGTCGACATCCAGATTAAGTCCTTTAACCAACTGGAACGTTGCTATGAGGTTACCTCTGTCCTGCCTGTAGTGGAGGGGATAGAGGTTCAAGGCCGTCAGGCGCTGCTCGTACGTGAAGTTTTTGAGGCCATGAACAGCCTTTGTAGCACGCCGTTGTACACCTTCAAGGAGATCCATATCCTTCCGAAGCTACGGCCGCCAAGCCTGTACCGCATATTCCAGGTGCGGCCGCACGAATGTCCCGTATACTTTGCCCAAAACATCTTTATTCAAGTGTATAAACGTTCTGCGTATCGCGCTCATAACGGACATTGCTCGCGCAGCGACTTTAGAACACTGCGTGGTGACGCTTAGATCGTCTTTAATGAACACACCGAGATCTTTTAGCACATCTACGGTTTTAAGTGGTTGATTGTCCAGAAGATACTGTCGTGGGGATGCATTTTTCTTCGCCTCGCTGATACTACGTGCATTACTGCACATTTTTGACGTTGAATTTCATGCACCATTTCTCGCTCCATGCGTGCAAATTCTCTACGTCCTTTTGTAGTATCTTGACGTCATCTTCATTTTTTATCACTCTCCAAAGTTTAAGATCGTCTGCAAAGAGCGCTATTTCCGATTTCACTTCCCCTACTAGGTCATTTACATAGACAATGAATAGGAGCGGCCCAAGAACTGACCCCTGTGGGACTCCACTCGTAACAGGTGCCCATTCTGAGCTGTAGCCGCCCGCCGGGACTTTTTGTCGCCGTCCGTTTAGGAAATCTTGAATCCAGCTCAGAAGATTTCCTCTTATCCCTACTTCTGACAACTTTTGAATGAGGCGCTTATGTAGGACGCATTCGAACGCCATGCTGAAGTCGAAGTAAATGACATCAACTGGATGTGCTTCATCCATGGCCTTTGGCCAGTGTTCGGGTGACGACAGCAGGTTTGTGAGGCACGACCGCTTTTCGCAGAAGCCATGTTGAACTGAGGCAATATGACAGCGGAAAGTATCGAGTGATGTAATAGATTTTTTAACTACTTTTTCCATCCGTTTGCAGCAAATGCATGTCAAACTAACCGGCCGGTAGTTCGTGGGACATAGCCGTGATCCTCCCTTGTGGATAGGTACGACGTTTGTCAACTTCCATGTGTCAGGTAGTTTGCCAGCTTCCAGCGATTTTTGGAAGATTATAGAAAGTGGCTCTGCTAATTCTTCGGCTAGCTGACGCAGGAGTACACCTGGGATCTCATCTGGTCCAGGTGACTTGGCAGGATCCAGCTTATTTAGCCCTGCTAAAACTAACTGCGGAGTAAAAAATACTGGGCATTGCACATAATTGTATTCTTGGTTAATAAATCAACAGAGACTACTAAGATTGCATTCTGGGTTGACCGACCGTGTTCAGCTTTGCTTGCAGTACATTGCTGATCTTTAGTATTTACGATCAAAAAAGTTAGTTTATAACATCACTGTCCTAAGGCGCAGATGTTTTGACTCACACAGACGCGCGTATCGAATTTCCTGCGAGTGCGCCAGGTCGACATCAGTACAGAGCAGAAAGTGGAAAATACCGACAAAAGTCGCCATAACTCTCCATATCCTAGCTGTCAATTCATCCGCAACAGCTTGGAATGGGCGACACAACCTCGAAAGCGATAAAACAACCTACCTCATGAGGCTGTTGATCATAGCAACACCGATTGGCATGACATCAAACGGCATGTTCATCAGAGTGCCCGCCACAACTGCAGCGATCCGGTTGGGCTCAAGCACGATATCAGGCTCGGGAAACCAGTCTTGCGTCACGACTGACTCCAGCAGGGCAACCTGGAGGGCGATAATTTAAACCCAAATGGTAAGAAAGGAGAGGTTGACTGAAAAGACTTCTCGGAAATCAAGGGTCTTCGAAAGATAGGTCAGGAGAAAATAGTCACAACAGATAATTTGAAGTGTTTCCTCGCTCTACTTCAACTACTTCCCGGTTATTTTTAATCCTTCATGAACCTTTCTAGCAGAGTCTAGAAGTTTAGATACTCAAGGGCTATGATGTATTGGTTGGCTTGCTGAAGCTACCCCGATCCGCCTGCGATTTCGTGGGAAGGAGATGGGTGTGTGGAGGTGGTGTCCGAATTACTGAAGACGGACGTGTATGGATTAAAGCTTATCCCTATAGAAGTTTTCCTGGATGAATCACACAGACATTGAAATGTGTAAATAAAGACCTTTTAAAATTAAAAACTTTACAATCTTGGGATAAAGTTAGAAATTATTGAAGAGGTATTAAACGTGACCGTACGTCACATGAAAGTTCTCTTTATATTAAGCCATTGTGCTAGCTCAGATCAAATCAATAACACTTTATAATTTTACTTAACTATTGCGCGATATGAGTGCCTGAAGGAAAATAGACTTCAAGCAATGCGTGAGCTGCTGACCTACCTTTTCTTCCAAGAATGTAGCTGAGTCCTGCGGGCGGGGGCTATCGATAACATCTATTATATTGAAGAAAGAACTTTGGAGTTATTGGAAACAACCAGAAAAGTCAGTTATTTATCAGACTACTTAATTGCGTATGCATGTAAATGGTCTCTGATTTGCTCACACGTTAGCTAACATTTTGACTCCAAAACTTGTCATGGGCTTGGATGCGAAAGAATACTATATTCAGCTATATGATTGCCTCGAAAAACAGCTAAGTTGACGCGTTGGATAAATCACTAGGTGACTAGAAACAGGACAAGACGGTTGGAAGGGAGTCAGCACCCCTACCAACGAGTTGTGTCGTCACCGCAGCGGGAAACAGACTGACCCATTGCATATGTTAGTCAGGCTGCGTCGAGTCTGCACGATACACTGACTATTGTCATATATGTGCGTGGGATGCGTTAGGCGCGACTTCACGTCACGCCGGCCATTGCGCTCAACTCGGACAGCTCATTTGTTTATGCAAAAGGTAATAGACAGTAAAGTCAGTTCTGTCCGGACGCAGGGCTTATTTGCCGCACCCTAAACAACCAAACGCGCCTTGAAGCTATCAAGAGGCGCGGTAGGACTGGCTTATGTGGCCCATGAGAACAGGAACCGTCTGCACTACGAGTGGCCTTGAGTCACCTTCAAGTTAAATCAGGGTTAGGTTTGAGTTTAGGGTTAAGGTTAGGTTAAGGATTAGATTTAAGGCTAGACTTAACGTCTCCGGTAAGGCAAGTCGGGATGAAGTTTGGGGTTAAGACAAGGGCCAGTGTCAACTGCAGAGTTGGGGTTTAGGGAAGGTTTAGCGTCAAGAGTACGACAAAGGTTTGGTTTTATATTAGGGTTATTATTGGGGTTAGAACAGGGGAATACTTTGCCCTTTTCGGAATTATGCGCAGGCTCGTCTTTATTATTTGGGCGGGGACGTTTCTATTCTTATGTCCTAGCGGCGACGCTATCAATCCAACATCGAAGATCGGACCGACGCGTCCTAACATCGGACAAATGAACCTTCGTTGAGTTCGAAACCGCTGGAATAACTTGCAGTGCCTAAGTATGTCCAGGGTCGCACATTTTCGCTCCGGTCAGCTGCGTCGTAGTTAATCAACGTTCTGGCCAATTGCCAATAGAAGCGAAGAGCCGAGTCCCAGGAAGTAGTCTTGAAGAAGGAGACACGATCGCCGGGACAAGAGCTTTATTAGCCTGACGTTTCGGATTCCTACTCGAATCCATCATCAGAGCCAATAGAGCAGAAACGGGTGGTTGTCGCACAAGGGGCTGCGGTATTTATAGGATGCAGCAGCCATGCTACCGCATACCTATGAACGTTCAGGGCTTCCCCCTTCATCCGGGATTGTCACACTTGGTGTGATCATTGCTTGATGGCCGACATCCGAGTCGATAATTGCTGCAATTTCATCACTTGCGTTGGATGTTGGCGTGATGATTGCTCGACCATCTGACGCGTTGACCCGGGTGTTGGCGGGCACTTGCGTATGTCAAGAACGTTTCGGAAGCTGTCGGTCGCCTTCTCGCACCACTTGGGGTTGGAGTGGCACACAGACCGGAGGCAACCATCAGGCGTCTGATCCTGAAACCGAAAGACCCACTGCCACGGCTAGAAACGTCTGGAGTCGTTTATCGGATCTGGTGCAGTTGCGGACAAAGCAACTACGTCGGAGAAACCGGAAGACAGCTCCGAACGAGAATGGCCGAACACGCGGCAGCGGTGCGCAGAAATGACGCCAGCTCTCAAGTTGCGGCTCATTCGACGAGACCCGGCCACACATTTAAATTCGACGAGGCCGAAATTCTCGCAAGAGGTGACAACCGAGTGAGCCGAGAGCTACTGGAATCATGGTTTACTGGCCCCCAGTCCATCAACAAGTGCAACGATCTTCCCATTCAATACAGCGTGCTGAGACTTCGTCTAGGCGGAGTAATTGGCCACGCGGGGAGGGCACTGGTGAACACTCTTCCCAACACCCGGGTCAACTCGTCAGATGGTCGAGCAATCATCACGCCAACATCCAACGCACGTGATGAAATTGCAGCAATTATCGACTCGGATGTCGGCCATCAAGCAATGATCACACCAAGTGTGACAATCCCGGATGAAGGGGGAAGCCCTGAACGTTCATAGGTATGCGGTAGCATGGCTGCTGCATCCTATAAATACCGCAGCCCCTTGTGCGACAACCACCCGTTTCTGCTCTATTGGCTCTGATGATGGATTCGAGTAGGAATCCGAAACGTCAGGCTAATAAAGCTCTTGTCCCGGCCATCGTGTCTCCTTCTTCAAGTTCTGGCCAATTTTGGTTTGGTTGGTGGAACTGTTCTAGGCTCCAAAACGTCAGCATGGCGTACATTAACCGTAGTAAAATGTCCTCTGGAGCAAGCAGTGAACAGATGGGATCATTCGATAACCCACGGGTCATATAGACTGCCATCATTTCCCTCTCACTTTGCAAGGTACAGGCTAGAGGAACTTTACGAAAGTGTAAATAGGTCCCCGTGGATCTCCTGCTGATCATGCTTATTCTGATGGCACCCCTGATCCCGTACGACCCAAGTGAATATGGAGTCCGGAACAAGGTTGTAGTGGTTGTTTGGCCGCTTTGCAGTCACGGGGAGATCAACCTCCGCATAAGAATCCGTCTCCTGGTGGTGGATTATGCTGATTATCGAGACATGCATGAAACAGCGGGCTTGAGATGGTAACCAAGAGGCGCAACCGAATACAAACCTTCATTGGCCCCGCGTCCCCGACTCATACTTGAGATGATTGCACTTTTCCTTTATGTTGATTGCATCCCACTGTCCCGCAGGATCAAGTAAACTTAGTTGTTGTTTACTTCTGCTGCCTGTTTCCTCTGTTCGTCTATAGGGGCGCACTCAAGACCCCGCCTTCGCATAGCACCCCCTACGGGCAGACATCTTACAATCATTCTGGGTAGACGTCCAGTAGACGAGGTGACCCTTTTTATTGACAGCACTCCATGAGGTCCTTAGGTATTGCTAAATGTTATTTTCTATCAGATCACGATGACTAGTTTCTTAAAGAATTTTCTTCTGAATGTCTGTTTTGGGGACTCGAGCCTATCCAGCTGCACTGAGGTTGGAGATAGTAGGCCCTCCTTTTTCAGAGTTGGCTTTTTTAACTCTCCAGTGTGTAAGCAAATCAACGTCCTTATGAGAAATGTTGAATTGGGACAATCATAAAGTACAGAGGAAAGTAACTAACCACTTATGGAGTAATCTTCCGAGGAAACCCTGTACATTTGTCCCACTAGGAAGGGAAAAAAGCATATAGGGGTTTTCAGTAACGAAACAAAGTGTCAAACAAAGTGTCATTAAGAGTCTTGATTCGTCGTATTTCTCAAGAAAACTGCGACTGAGAATCATCGTCAATCAAACTTTTTGTAACGGTGAATTTCAGACATTCGTTTGATTTCACCGTGAAAACTTCGGCTGCCTCGTTGGGATTCGAACCCACGACGGCAAGTGCAAGGCTTGTGCACAGCCAATGCGCTAACCGCCTGAGCTACGGGGCCCCATCGAGTGCCAGGAATTTAATCATCTTTTGGCTCAATTTATCCATCAAGCATTACTGCAACTTATGGAGCTGACCACTTCTGCTACAATAATATGACTACCCAAGAAGGACCTTCTAAACAATCAGTGCAGAATCCACCAAATGACTTCCAGACTCACTTCACTACACAGTGTCCGGTCGCTAGCGACTTACGACTGGCAGACGTGCTTTTATCCAAAATGTAACCTGTTGGTCGTGGCTGGAACCGAAAAATTGGCCAGAGCGCAATGAATCAAACAGCACACTTTGAATATGAACTGAGAAATCTAAACTAACAAAGGAGCTTGCATAGGTATTTTCAATCAGGGAGGCGTTTAACTTCAATGAAGTTACTGGAGCCGCTAAAAGGCATGCCTTTGTTAAGCTTTTAAGTTCTTCTGATATTAGTGTATCATCTTGAACTGAAGCCTTCGTGACAAGGATTGATATAAATGTTTAAGATGGATTCCATCAATCACAGCGGGCTATCCTCGTAACACAGACAGCTTGCCCGTAGGCAGTCTGTAGTATATAAGTCATTCGCGAATAGGATTTTATACCGGCGTATGTTGTAGATTCCCCCCACCACGAGTGTCTTCATGAGACATTTAGCTAACCACATGTTAAAAAACAATCCGAACTCCGCAAACCCCATCTATCGATTACGACCTGACTATGAACATGCTACTTACATGATTTCAGCAGGTCCTTTTTGTACATTAACCTTGACCCAGATGAAAATTTCACAGTGCAGCTGCAGCGAACGTGTTTTTCGTCGTTATTTCGCAAATGCTATACCTTTTTCACATTTATGCTTCACCATTAGTTTTATGCATTCTGCATACTAAGACTACATGCTAAAATTTTGCAGCTTAACTACTCTTATGCACACTTGTACTGTCTAAATGGAGTTTTAAGGGCTTCTGTCATTTACTCCAAATATACCTACTGCCACGTTGAGATTGATGTACCATACTCTCAGCACAATATATATTAGCACACTATTATAGGTCATGTAGTCAATCTCACGGTTGAGTTGTGTAGAAGATAGCATGCAGTTTTTGCAGATGAGCATATCAACTAGCGATCTCTTGCGTTATGGTTTAGTAACTATGATTGCTACCTATTAAACAGCTCGATGGCTTACATTTTGGCGTGCTGCTCAATCTCTTGAGTAGTCTAGCTGACTTCCGGGCCTCCGGGTCTAGCAAAGCTTCGTCGGACTCGTAATTTTGCGAAGCTTGATCCGCAGAGCTGCTTTCAGAGAGCAGTTCGATCGATAGCTCATTCTCACCCGACTCGTGTTCTTCTTCCTCCTCCCCTTCCTCCTCTTCGCCCCCCTCTTCCTCATCGATCTCGTCCGAGAGATCGTCTTCGGTGAAGCCTTCACCGATCAGAACTTGGCTGAGGCGACTGGCCGGGGCATGACCACCACCGCCAACTTTTCGCCGTTTCTTTGGTGGACGCTTTGTAAAGACGGGAGCTGCACCTGCATCCACTCGGAGCTCTGGCTTTGACTGAAACGATCAGACAATTCAGGTGGTTTCTTGTGTTTTCCAGGTAAATGCAAAATATTTCATTCCTTGACACTTAGACACTTTATGGACGACGCTGTAGTACAAAGTGTTTGGTCAATTCTTTTCTTGGAAATTATGCAGAATTAAAGTAGCCCGGGTGAAATTTAATTCTGTTTATGTGCTATTAAAATAAAACAACTCTGCATGGAACAGGAAAGTCATGACAAGAAGTAATTACTGCCTGCGTAATACATAAATGCTAACACAAACTGCGCAAGGAAACGTGTGTTTTACGTTAGAAGCCATCGCCCATGACGGATGAGAAAGACGGGCAGTTTCCAGATGATCGGGTAAATAGACACAGGCCAAAAACGACCCTGAGTCAAGAAAAACTCCCGAATACTGCCCCTTTGGCTGGCAAACAGAGAAAAATATGGTAGAAATATCTACCTCAGCCTCTTCTACCTTTTTAGGCAATATCTGCTATTCTTTATTCCACTTTCTACCGAGCATTTTTGAAAATACTTACTATGTGCGCGTCAGGCAGTCTTGTATGGTCCTAACTTAATCCAGCTTTTTACAAATAGCCGAAAGTATCAATGTATTGAGCAGTTAACACAGGAATTTGTCATTCACAAGGTAAAAGGGTTTAAATCCAAAAAGCTATTTCAAATACAGCCGAGAAATGCTACAAACATATGCAAATTCTAAAAATGCTTTAAAAAATATTTATTTGCCAAATTAACCTGACTGACGATGACGAATCATCCATCTGTTTGAGTCTCTAAATGAGATAAATTGTATTAGACATAAAAATTTCTTCAATTAGAAGTCTAGATTTTACGATCTGCTTTTCTCTGACGTCAGCTGATCGTTGAAGCAGTGATTACTTGGTTTGCCTGAGCACCACTTTTCACATGACGAACCATCCGCACGCATATGAAACTTCTCGTATAATCTTGAGTGAGGAAAAATGCGCGCCTTCCAAAACGTTAACGTAAGAACAGCGAGAAGGAACACTTGCCATGCGTGCGCTTTTCAGTGGTCCACTGAGTTGTGACTCTTGCCGGGAGCCAGTTTCAGTCTTAGAGACGACGTAATCCACCGCAGGTTCGTCCGGCTTGAAGTCGACACTACCTGGTCTCAGGATGATCATCTCACCTGCAATCGGCTCGGACCCTTCGCTGCTCCTATACTCTGAGGAATCGACACCGAAAAGGGACCTGCGCTCCTCCTCCTGCAGAGCGAGCATTTCCGCCTGTCTCCTCATCTCTGCTTCCCTTTCGGCTGTTTCCTTCGAAAAAATGAAGACCGAAGTATTAAATTTACACTTGAATACCAATGTGGTCCTACCACAGGAACGTCAAAAATATAGATAACAACATTAGCACTCCAATAATCAAAAGATCTTTTATCTCCTCCTGTGCAAAAACAGGGTTTCTAAGGCTATAGTTTAGTGTTTCCAAAATTCTCTTGCCGATGAGGGTCTTGGAGGTTTATGAGTCACATAGTTCTTAGTCCCAGCAAGGGGACCTTTAAAATGGGACACGGAGAGCCCACACTGCTCTGCGAGATCATCATCTATTTTTCTACATTTTCCCAAAAGTTACTACGGCTAAATCGCAGTTGGTAGCCAGGACGCGCATTTTTCGGGTAAGGATTATGCCTTTAGGCTTAGGTTTTCCGGTTACGGTTAGGGTTTGCGCGAACGATTAGGGTGCAGTATTACGGTTAGGTTTTCCAGTTACGGCTATGTCTAGGGGCTACGGTTACGTTTACGGTTTCGATTAGGGTTAGGGTTGCCGTTAGGGTTAACGGTTAAGGGTGAGGTTAGGGTTAGGGTTAAGTTTAGGATTAGGGTTAAGATCGCCGTCCGCTTTCGCATTCCTGGCTGCCAACTGCGATCCAGCCGTTACTACAATGAGCAGTGATGTTCACCTCTGATTGGCACGCTCCGTAGTGCACCATGTGGCAGGCTGTGGCGCGTGCAAGTAGTCATATGAATGCAAGCAATTGTCTGGAGTCATACATGCTGTCACAACGAACGTATGGCCGGGCATCCGCTTTCGTCTAAACATGTCACACACGCACTAGTTTCCCAAACTAACCTGATTAATTTCCTTACGTACATGGCTGGTCAAATCCTCAAGAATTACTGTGAAAACCGCCTGAGGGTCCCTTTTTAGCTCGACTTTCGGTCTGAAGACCCACATAGTCTCATCAGTTGGTGGACTGTTAAAGATCAGCAGCAATTCAAATGCGCGCCAATCTTATTATAGTAGTTCTTCCTTCGCAAGATAAGGACAACCAGTGTCCCAAGAGGTGAGCTTCGTGGTGACTAGGCGTTCAGTAAAGGCGATTCGTTCTACACCTACCTCACTTTCTCTTCCTTCCTGCACCCACCGCTTTCCTGCACCGTGGTTTATAAAAGTAGACAATCCATCTACACGTGACGCGCGAGTCTTGATCGTCAAATCCACATACAGCGGGCTTTGATGAAAGGACCGCCTATTTTTCAGAAATAAGGGTGTCCTAAAGGTCACGTTACGAAAGATTCCTTGAAGCTAGCCCTTTAGTCTGAGGGGAGAACTTAGTTATCCCTTCAGTCAGCAGTTTTCTAACCCGCGTTTTTGGTGCGTCACGGCACATTTAAAGCTAATCGTTGTATGTTGATTGGATCAAGTTAACTCTCTATCTCCTCTCCTATACGCCAAGATGGAATAGGGTGTAGTGACTGGCGGTACGTGAAATTGTCATCTAACTTGTGCCAGATACGAATAACTATATTATAAGCTGGGATCCGTGGCACAGATGCTCTCTCCCTCTCCCTTTCTCATCCTGTTCCAATGGTGTACAGTAGTCAAAATGTGTTACTTCGACTGTAAATGCGCACAGGTGCAGAGGTAGAATGAGTATCTTGTCCCCGGGACCCGCAGAACTGTACTGCCCCCGCATAGCAGATGTTATCCAAACTGCCCGTCCGACACAAACTACTGAATTCGCTTGAGGTTTGACACTATAGCATCGACGCGTTTGCAACCCAAACGCGTGTTCATATCTCTGTGCGGTCAGAGTATTTTCCACTCAGAGTGGAGAAGGCGCTCTCATGAGGAGCTGGGAGTATCAATGTTGCAAATACAGTTCGTTTCTGAAAACTATTGACGCTCACCAAGAGTTGCGCCAGTTGCTTCTGCAGTCCAACGCATAGAACGGAACACTGATAGTCCCGACACCTTCTCACAGTTTCCAGAATAGCCTCCAAGTCATCTTCGGAAATCTCCATCACAGTCCTGATTTTTGCGTTAGCATCTGTGTCACCACCTAAAGCTCGTTTTACGAAGTCCGTCGCCTCGTCCATGCTCGAAAACATGGGTGCTATAGTCTCCGCAAGGAGCCGGACAAGTGGCGTGAAGAGATCGAGGAAGTTCTTGACTATTTCGATATCCTTTGTTGCTCCCGCTAACTTGCCAATGGCGTCTTTGGCTTCATCAGATTCAGGTTCTGCGTTTCGAAAAGCCTCCAAAAGTTCTATTACCTCTTGTCCAGAACCAAAGTACATTGTGAGATAGATGAAGAGCCAGTCTGGACTCAGCATAGAAGCCAGGAAGTGGTGATAGTCGACTCCGGTACCCACATACGACTTCATTTTTGCACAAATGGCCGGGTTGCCATCAAGCGCCTGGCTAATTTGCAAAGCGACTTCACTGTCTTCCTTAAAGAGACGGCGCATTTTGGCCAGAATGAACTTGGTCTCTTCATTGGTCAAAGTGGAAATGCTCGATTCCTCCGAGCGACCGTCTGAGATTAGACCAAAACTGGTGTGTCTGCGATTGCGCACATAGGCGATGAGGCGTTCCTGTTCTCTTTTCTTTGCCAAAACTATGTTGGAGAAGGAAGGAGAAAAGATAAACCAGACCGAATTACAACTAATCATATAACGAATGTACTCGGGAAAAATAGGTTCGTAAAATGGTTTCATCTTCC